GCCCCGGTGCTTGAGCTGCGGCCGCCATGGTGGAATGGGATCAGCAGTGTTGGTGGGCTGCTCGGTTGTTAGCTCGGCAATTGGATCTGCGCGAGGTCTTTTGCCTGCCCGGCGGGGTTGGCTGGATTGCCTGGCAGCTGGAGATGCCAGGGCAACCACAGGGCTGCTGGATTGACCAGCAGCATGAGACGGGGAAGAAATGCTTGGTATTTCGGCGGATGTGGCTGTGAGGAGATTCTTAATGCAGCTTCTTTTAGTCATCTCTTGTTCCTCGGTCAGCTGGATTAGCAGAACGTTTGGCAGATTTGGGTCTGGAGGAGGAGTTGGAGCGCGAAGAAAGTCTGTAACTTTACTCCGGCGTGGAGCTGAGTATCTGTAGGTTGGAGTGTAACCGAGCAACTCGTTGCAATCTCGGTGGCGACAGCGGAGCACGGTCCGAATTGCCTCTACGTTGGGAAATTGGTAGTTGGCTTGCAGGCTTGGATTGCTGCAAAAGAAACAAGAAAACTAGTTAATTACAGAATAAAGAAGGTAGGCTGACCGAGCAAGTTTGAGCGGCTTACATGAGGAACTGAAGTTCTTGCTTATAAACCAGCCCGGTACGTCGGTTGTTTCGTAATTGCCCGACACCCAGAAAAAATCGTCGTCGTGCAAGTCTTTATCCGGGGTGCTGGTTACAATTTTCTCCTTGCCCGGTATGATTTTCAAATAATAGGCTAGGTCGTCACCGGTGTAACCCATCGTGTATTGCCTTAATATCTCAGCTAAACCTAAGTTGGTGCCTAGCCGATTGTTCAGTTCATAGACGCCGTTGATAATTCGGTAAGTGTTGGTGGACACTTGTGTGGGTGCCAGCCCAATTCGGCGGAGGAACTCGGTGATAAGTGGGTTGAGTGGGAAGCGGAGGCCTCCTTCAATGATAGATAGCACGGTGAAGGGGCATTGTTCTGATCTGCCCCAAGGCGTTGTTTGCTCTTTTGCAAGCTCAAGGTGGACATCGGCCGGGATGCCGTACTCCTCTCTGAACACGGCCAAGGCAGCCGGAGTATCTACGAGGAAGCAGAATTTCCCCATTTACGACCGGCTAAATTAGCTCAGCTGTGGTTTGGCACTGTCAGGTGATTTGTGGCTGCTCGGTCTTTGGGAGCCTCAGGAATGGTCAATGGTCCCCTTGGACTCTGCAGGAAAAGGAGGACAAGTGTAAGAGGGAGCGCGGTCGCGCAAAGCGAGCTTGACTTTAGCTCGGTCATCTAGAGTGCCAAATCACCTCGGTCGTAGAGGCTAACCAAGGAGCTCGGCCGCCCAAGCAGACCAGATTTTAGCCCGGTTGAGCGGCCAAGAGCTTTGTTATCCCGGTTCTTGCTATGGTTAAGTCTAACAAGTTATTTGCTCGGTCGGGATGGTTTTTTGGATCAAACGAAGACCTGGAGCCCGGTCCGCCCCAGTTCTTCGAAGTTCATCATCGAAAATGAAGAACACCATGAATAGTGGGAGGTTTGGGATGATTTCTATGGCATATGTCCTAAGAACTACGTTTTATTGCCCTATTGTGTGAAATATCAAGGAAAATAACAATAACAAGGGTTGGAGGGCTTACCAATATGGAGCAATGGCTGCTTCTTCTTCGAGCGCGAGTTCAGGAATGGCAGAGGAGAGGTAAGAGCTCTGGGTTGCTTGGAATGGCAGTGAGTCAGTAAGAGCTCAAGGAAGATGAGGGGGGGAATGTTTATAGACGAGACGAGACCGCCCAAATTCAAATTCTGGCAAGGCGGCGGGTTGGCTGCTCGAGAACCAATGGCGGCCCGCCACGTGTCCCCATTTATGACGACGTCAGAACTGAAAAGACAGGTTGAAGAGTTGAGTCAACCGGGCTACTTTTGAAGAAGAGGATGGCTGGCTGTGTCATTTGCCTTTTGTCGAAGTCTGTGGATGTGTTCCATTACCAGGTGCTGCTTTTGGATAGCCTGCAAGAAACGAATTTGATTAGTGAAGGAACCGGGCAAACACTTGTAAAATTTCAGTGGAAGTTGGATCCTTACCTTGGTCATGGATTTCACTGCTGATTTCACCAATCGGGTGTCAGGGACGTGATCGCTGCCAACCACGTCACTTGGCAGCAAGAGAGCTTTCGAGAGGTCAAAGGCCAACAAGTGCTCCTTATCGCCCATGACAAAAGCATTTGCTGGGATATCTTGGCCCCGGTGCTTGAGCTGCGGCCGCCATGGTGGAATGGGATCAGCAGTGTTGGTGGGCTGCTCGGTTGTTAGCTCGGCAACCAACTCGGCAGTTGGATCTACGCGAGGTCTTTTGCTTGCCCGGCGGGGTTGGCTGGATTGCCCGGCAGCTGGAGATGCCAGGGCAACCACAGGGCTGCTGGATTGACTAGCAGCATGAGACGGGGGAGAAATGCTTAGTATTTCGGCGGATGGGGCTGTGAGGAGTCTTTTGA